AAGGTGGGTGTGGCCCCCATGGAGGACAAGATGCGGGAAGTAAGACTCAGATGGTTCGGGCACATTCAGAGGAGGAGCACTGATGCACCGGTGAGGAGGTGTGAGCGACTGGCTGTAGTGGGCACGCGGAGAGGTAGAGGGAGACCTAAGAAGTATTGGGGAGAGGTGATCAGACAGGACATGGCGCGACTTAGGATTACTGAGGACATGACCCTTGATAGGGAATTATGGAGGTCGAGCATTAAGGTTGTAGGTTAGGGGAGAGTTGTGAATATTTCTACAGCACAATAGAGTGAGACTAGCCAGTTAGGAGTTAGACTAAGAATGTCATTGGTCGTCTATTGATGCAGGGCTTTACCTTCTAGTTTTACTATACCAGCCATCTATTTCGTATTTCGTATTCTGTATTTCATATCTCTTATATATTGCTGTTATTTTTATTACGCATTTTTATGGTACTAATATATCAGCTCCTATTGCTTTTTTGAGCCGAGGGTCTCCTGGAAACAGCCTCTCTACCCTTCGGGGTAGGGGTAAGGTCTGCATACATATTACCCTCCCCAGACCCCACTTGTGGGATTATACTGGGTCGTTGTTGTTGTTGTTGTTGTTGCGATGCTCAGTTCACAAATTCGAACTTTTGGTCGCAAATGCGACTTCTGTCAGCCCTGCTTTGTTCGCAATTTACAAGGGTTCGGTATTGTGAACCCTGGGTCGCAAATACGATATCTGAGGCCTGTTAAGTGAGGTTTCTGACGGGATTTTCCCCCATTTTTCAATTTTCTCAAACCCTAAACCTCCATAGGCGATTTTTCAATGACCCAAACTTCTCCAAATCATTGGGTAAGTGTCTCTAATCAATTTTCAACTATATTTTGTGATTATATCTTAGATTTAATATCAAATTCATGAGAATCTAAAGGAAAATTTGGGGAAAATTGTGAAATCTTTCAAAAATGTAAAATGATGATTTGAATGACCAAATGATATCGGAATTAGATAATTTTTGTATGGGTGAACTCGTGTCGGAATGAGTATACGGTTTTTTTAAATTTTGTCAGGATTCGAGGTGGGGGCCTAGGGAGTTGATTTTTGTTGATTTTTTGCAAATTGTATAGGAATCATAGTTTTGTTAACTGGAATTGTTTTCTCTTGCATTGTTAGATGTATTCAAGTCATTTTTAGTTAGATATGAGCCGTCCAGAGGTATTTTCACCCGAGAAGTACATTTTAGAGTATCGGTTTATCGTCTTCGAGATAAGTATCTTGCCTAACCTTGTGGGGGGACTTCCCCTTAGGAATTGAGTCTTTTATGCTAATTGTAGTCCATGCATGTGAGGTGACGAGTGTGTGCTCAAACTTATTTATGAAAAAATTGCCTCTAGGGTTCCTAGGTCCTTATGTGGAAAGTATTCTGTTATGATTGGGTTTCCTAATTGCTTAAATTGCCTCTATATGATCCATATGACGTTGCTAGCTTTCCTCTAATTCTTACGTGTTACCTTGACCCTTAATTGCCTTAATTGAAGTGATTACCTTTCTTATTGTTTTGATACTTCTTGATTTTGAGTTCCTCTATGACTTCGTGCATATATGTTACATGTCCAATTGTTGTGGTTATCGGTGTAGTTATCACGTGCTTATTATGATTTGTTGTTTTGTTGAGGTTATCGTGCTTCTTGGTTTTTCCATGACCCTTATATGTATTTGCTGATTCCCTTGCCGGGATGTTATTGTTTATGATATTATTTTCCTTGCTGAGATATTGTTGTTATACTATTGTTCCCTTGCCGAGATGTTGTTATTTATGATCTTGTCTCCCTTGCCGGGATGTTATTGTTATACTCTCGTTTCCTTGCCGAAATTCTTTTATGATTGATGTTGATTTGTAAATGGGATCGGGAGGCACGCCTCCATGATGGGAGCGGTTGCACGCCTGCAACAAGATATATGAAATGGGAGCGGATTGCACACCTGCAACAAGATATATGAAATTGGATCGAGTTGCATGTCTGCTACAAGATATATGAAATGGGATCGGGTGGCACGCCGCCATGGTAATATATGAAATGGGATCGGGTGGCACGCCGCCACGGTAATATTTGAAATGGGATCGAGTTGCACGCCTGCAACAAGAAAGAATAAAAGTAAATATTGATTATTATAGTGAGAATGAGAGCAAAAGCACGAAGGGTGATGTCGTGCACTTTCTGTTTGCTATGCTTATTTGTTGTTATCAATTCAAGTATTTTAACTATTCAGATTCCTTTACCGCTGTGATCCTTTGTAAAGGAACCCCATCGTGTTTTCAATACTTCGCCGTATTTATATACATATTTTTCAATACTTTAAAATTTCAATAATTGTTTCATCTTCAATTCATTTAGTTACTCAATTAAATTTCCTTAAACCGTTTGAGGTTGTATTTTACTTTAAAATGAAATTTCTACTAAGTTAATTTATTTAATTCCTTGTTAAAGGTAATAATTCATTCGATGTTGTACTTTAATTGAAAATGGTACTTTCTCTATTCAAATGATTTCTAAAAATAACTTTATCTTTTTTACTGAGTTCCTAATTGATTTAGAAGATGTACTCTACTTTATGTTATGTAAATCAGACTCCTTGAACATCTTAATTGCATTAGTTATGGACCCTATGAACTGAGTAACATGAGAACATTGATGTGTAAAGTGAGATAGAAATATATGGACACAAGGTGTCGTGTTGTGCTAAAAGTTTGGTAATTGAGGTTATGATATGAGACATCGAGTTTGAAATGGCTGGAAATTGTGCATCGGAAACGATATGATTTATTGAGCTGACATCGCCTTCCTTGTTTGAGCACATTTTTACTTGTCTGTGTTCCAGCTATGTTGGTGTTAATTTATTTGGTTATCTTTCGTTTCCACCCGTGTTTCTCTTTATTGTTTCTACTGATTGTAGTTTGTTCTTTCCCTGCTGTTGATATTACTATGTCATTTCTAGGTTGATAGTATATTATCTAATCATGTTCAATTTATTTGACCAGTAGGTGTCTGGACTATTCCTCGTCACTACCACACTGAGGTTAGTCTTGATAATTACCGGGTACCGCCGTGGTGTGCTCATACTACACTTTTGTACATTTTTGTATACAGATCTAGGTATTTGATCGGTAGTAGTTGTGCGGGTCGTTGCGGTGGAGACTCAAGGTAAACCTGCTACAGCGTTCGCAGGCCTCGGAGTCACCTTCATTTGTATTTATTTCTATCTATTCCTTTTGTTTTGGAGCAGTGATGTATTTATTGTGTATAACTACTCTAAGAAAGGCTTGTGACTTGTATCACCGGTTTTGGGAATTGTAAATTATTAAGAGTTACTTAAATTAAAGTTAGCAAATAAAAATATTATCTCAGTTAACGTTAGGCTTACTTAGTTTAGAGATTATGTGCCATCACGTTAGGCTTAGAAAAAAAGTTTTTTCCCATTAACAAAAATTTAAAGCTTGGAGTTTAAAAGTTGAATTCTCGAAAATAATTAAAAATACTTTAAGAAGCTTATATCTAAACATTTGGATAATTGAGTGGGTTTAGCAGGATGTTCAGCCAAAGGCTGAAGGAGGAAGAAGAAAATATCAATTTGCTGGACTGTATATATTTTATAGACGAATTCTAGCTACATGGAAAACCTTAAAATCAAGCTAAAACGGGTAAATATTGTCCTACCTTTGTACCTATAGGATAAAAATCTCAATATGTTTAACCAAATACAAAAGGTATAGCCAAAGTAATAAATTTGCAAATGTGCACTTATTTTTATCTCTTGTTTAGATGCCATGACTATTTATTTCAATTTTGTATCTTTTTTTCTTTTTACTTTGTATCTTTTTTTCTTTTTACTTTGTATCTTTTTCCTTTTTGATAATCGTGGTGTCACAAGCAGCTTACGCGTATCTCGACTAATTCAAGAGGATACCTGGCATCTCTCACTAGCAATAGGTATCAAGTAACGTTGTCCACCAATGCTTGAACAAATAAAAAAAATCACCTAGTATTTTTACCTCCATTAGATTGCACCCGAGACCTTATGGTTCTCACCCACTTTATTGACCAGCAAGCCACGCTCTTAGCTTCAAGTTCCGATTGTATATTTACTTTTTAGATGCAATGACTATTTATCTCAATTGTGTATTTCTTCTTTGTCGGACCAAAATTACAAAAAAAAATGAATTTCTTGGATCTTCATTATTTTGAGCCAAATAATAAAATTTAGCCTAAATAATGGAGATTCAGCAATATTTTTATAAATTTAAATAGAAAAAGATTATCTAAAAAATTAGTGAATTAAAAAAAGTGCAAAAATATATACTACCTCGATTTGAATTTTTTCGAAGTACGATGATCAAATTGACTAATTCTCAATGTGAATTCAAACATAAATTCTTTAAAATTTTTGAAATAAAGTCTACATATTTAGAAACTACATAAAAGGTAAGTCACAAGTAAACAATTTAGAATATTTGTAAAAACATGATCAAGAAAAATCTTAGTTCAATCCCTGTAGAATAATAAGTCCATTCTTTTTTAAACGAAAGGAGTATTATTTTTAAAATATGCCACGCGGGAAAAAATCCACATGACAAGCAGGGGTATGGCACTTCGCTAGGATGAGATCGTTCAGGGGTAAATGCTTTAAAATACCCAAGTGTAAAGGGATAATGAAGACTAAGTATAGTTTGAGGAGGGAACTAATAATCTGAGCAAGTTTAGGGGTGTTCTTAAGCATTCTACCAAAAATTAAATAAATAAATAAATAAAGTAAAACTAATCAAGATCAATAAAAAGCTAAGCATCTAAAGTCGAATTGAGTTGCAGCTTTGGCTCAACCCAGAATACAAACTAAAGGAGTAGAAGCGAGCCTATTTTATATGCTTCTTTTTTTTAGTTTATAAGACCCTGCAGTTGTGGCTGTAATTGTTACTAATATTATACTTCAGTAGTAAACTGAAATATTGCTCATAATCCAAATCCTCACAACTATAATTCATCAAGGAAAATAGAGTAGCACCGTCAATACATCATATCATGAAAAACTTAGATGAAATCGACGGGGCTACATTTCCAAACTTCAATTACATGAAAAATTAACTGTTAGGATCTGTATAAGTAGGTGCAAAAGAAACTTCTGGCTTTCCTGGGCTCTGGCAAATGGCAATAAAGGACCTCTGCCCATTGGAAACATGGTGTGGAACAAAGAAAACATCAGGCAGAGAAAGGTCTGCTTTAAGCACATAAGGCCCAAGGAAAGAGCGGAACTCAAACCTGCAATGTCCTCATATCGATCGTTACCTTCACAATCAGTGAAGAATTGCTTCGGTAAATACTTGACTTACAAGGCAGGATTCAAGGTAAAAGAAATAGAAAGTTGCAATCAGGACAGAAGGCAATGACGAAGCACCATTTAATAGATGCTTCCTGACGTTGAACCAGAGTGATAAATCAAGAACCGGCCCCTTTTTATCTCACTTGTCGAATCCACCTGCAATCTCAAATGACAAAAGCAAAATAAGGTAAGGTGATAACCACAAGCATATTGTGATGAGTGGAACCATTCAGTCTGTAACTAAAGAAACGAAAAATGAAAAGACCACTAAACCTGCAAGTTCTTCCATAAGGGGATGGATATGGAAAGCATAAGATGACCATAATCTTTTTGTTGTTAGATAAGAACTCCAACCACGAATGAAAGATCATCTCTCCATGCCCTCAATAACCCACTTCATCCACGTGAAGAAGCAATGTTTTGATAGGTGCTCAGGTAGGTCTACCTATATAAATCATGATAGTTAAAAAAACAAAGAAACACAACTAATTCACACATCAAAAGAAGTAACATTAATGCATGTAATGTTTGCTCAAAATCATATTCTTTCCCCTAAGAAAGATGCAACATTAATCAGCATGCTTCTGTTATTCAAATTGCTAATGATGGACACAATCCCTAAATCTATTAGTTGCACCAATAACAAATTAAATTATATATGACAAATGTCAAATGGTCTAAGAGCCAGTTCTGTGGAAGAGATTTGCAGCAGAGGTCCTAGATGTTCAGGATTCATATGTCAATTGTCAATATAGCAATGGGAAGATGGAAAAATATGGCCAGGTAAATAGAGAATAGAACTTGAAGGAAAACAATGTATTTTGAACTTACGCTGCTCCAAGTAGTTGAATACCCATCAGTAGAAAGCAACCAGTCACCAGATGTCAAATGAAATTCCGCTCTATCCTCAATAACATCGGCAAATTCTACCCCATCTAATTCTTCAAATTCAAGATTCCTTCTCTTTTTCTTTTTGTGTTTTTGCATTTTCTTGCGCTTATTTCTGGCTGACCTGGTGTCCTGCACAGACTCACTTTCTTCCAGAAGTTGATCATGATCTAATATTGGATAAGTCTTGGACTTGCGAAAGCTTATGTCATTGCTGACAAATAAACATTCCCAGGAACTGGAATGTTGGAATTCCTCAGATAAATAATAGTGGAATGCCCAAGACTGCAATCCCAACCATTTTATAGTTCCTAAAGATTTTCTGCTGAAACATTCTCTTAGAATTGGTATAAAGCTATCTTTACAGATTGTTGGTGTACAAATTTGGAAAACAATATGCTTAACCTTTTCCTTTTGCTCCTGACTTCCTTCGTCACGTATAAATCGCATAAGCTGCCGAGTTTGAGTAGTAACTGCATTCAAGAGAAGCAACTGATCAAGAGAATTACTGCCATCACACTTGGAGAGTATGATCTCCAGCCAAAAAGAAGAATCATGACAATCCATCTTTTGCAACCTTGGCTTAACATGTCTTTGGAGTAAATCCAAGAAAACCTTTAGATCTTGTTCCCCAAGAACGATGAGAAGGTGTTGACATAAGAAAGAGAAAGATTGCTCAATGAGAAACTCATCTATAATTTCCCAAACTTCTTTCAAATCCTCCTTGTACATCAAGTCAACAAACATACTGACAAAAAAATTATTATCAATGGTCAGAATATCACCATCTTTCAGTGACTCGGCAAATTCCTTAGATGACCAAAATTCAGGAACATACTCAAGAAAATTCTCCACTGTTCGTTCGACATCCAGATCAAGAAAATAGTGGGGCTTTGTAGCAACCATTGCAGGAGATTGCCCATGTTTCCCCCTCCACTCGAGCTCCTCCCAACAGATGTCTCTATTTACAAAAGCAAACTGGGACAGTGCCTTAGCCCCCTTTGTATGGGTTGCATAACCAGTACCAGCAAAATTAGAGAACCACTGCAAAATACGGTTTTGGTTTCCTGCAAGATCAATAATTTACAGACAAAAAATGAAAATTACTGAGATCAAATAATCAGTACAGGAAAATATCTTAGTAAGTGTGAACAGAGGTGATGTACCACATACTAACCTCTACAGCAATCCAGTAAACAAACTATACTAGAGTCGTTTTGACATAAAGAATATTAGAACAAAGATTGGAACAGTTCTATCACCATGAACTTTTTATTTCCCTCAAAATTTCAGAAGAAAAACTACATAGACTTGAGACAAAATTATACTTTATTGTTTGTTCAGCAACTCTCAACAAGATAACCCAAGAAAGAATGTACCCCTGGTAATTCTCCTTTTTTTATATAGGTAAAAGTACCATTGGAAATTCTCATTAATGTTTTTATAACTTAATTTAATGACAAAAGCAAACTTCAACAAACTGTGAAGTCACCAGATAATTTCTTTTCCTCAAATAAACCCACTTTTATGGTAACTGCTAAAAGTTATCTTCCAATATTGTTGTCTACACATGCCACACTCCAGCCAAATTATACGTTTTGAAGTTATAAGTGATTGGTAAGAAAAAACATGTCTTTTACAGGTGATAACTGAATCAATATATCTCATGGAAAGAGTCAATCAGTCAGTAAGATTTTGATAAATTCGACATGAAGAACAAGCTAAAATCAAGGAAGTTTCATCTGAAAAATCTAGAAGCATATGGCTCATGGATCAAGCAAAAAGGAACTAAATAACCAACTTAAGGAAAAACGCCAGCTCAAGATGCACTTCACCCACTAACTCAAGTAAAATAGTAAAACCTTACCTTTGAAGAAATTTTCTAATAAAAAGCATTTCTTTGCAATGATATGCCCTGCTTTCTGAGGTTCCTTCTGGAAAAGCAATCGTAGGAGTTGTCCGACTAAGGGCCGCTTTAGTGGCTTAGACCTCAATAAGGTCATGAATAACTCATGTTGATTACGAGGTGTTATAGACCGTACATCTGCGATAGCAATGCAAAGCCAAAGACGAGATTCAGATCGACCTTCCACCGATATCAGTGACCAGATGACTGATTCTAGCTCATTTAGAAGAGCTTTTCTCTGTTCAGCTGATTCATCATCTACATTTTCCTTCCATGATGGTTTAGATAGAAATAACTGCAGCATTTTATCTGAAATATCAGAAGTTGGCATAGAAGCAAGTTAGTCCAAATTATAATTTCGACGAATATGGGAACAGTAGAAAATTAATGATCTTAATTTTGAGGAATGCACTAAGAACAAACTCAAACATCAGAAATTATGGAGAGCACGGATTTCTGATACTTGAATGTAAACACACATCTCACTGGACTGTAGAGCACTATTCAATAGTATTGGACAGGTATACAGAAAATTAGAAAATAAGACAAGGGTGAAGATGTAGTTTGTTATTTTCAAAAGAAGACAAACGTGAAGATGCATCATTCGCGTTGAAGTGAAATTAGTTCCATAAGCATAGTACTACGGAGAGAGTTAAAATAACTAGATAAATGAGTGGTTTTCAATGATTTCCTTTATTTCTTATCACCTCTATCTAACCATTTTATTCTTTACTTTCAGAATTAGATAGCAAAAACTGAGTGCTCAATTCAAGTTCCTGCTTAGTGCTGCCCAAATTTATGATGGTAACATATATAGATATGGCAGCCCAATCAGTTGACCTTACAGAAATCTGGAAGTAAAAAAGAATCACGTAAAATTAAGCTACTTTATTCGCACACAATAAAGACTGTACAAAATCTCAAGAAAATGCTAATAATCGAACAACTCATTTAAGAAAATGTCCAGAATAAACCTATGAACTTCAGGAGATAAAATGATCTCGCTTAGTATTACAAGTTATCAGCTACTACTATCACATTTCAGCTACAAAATTAGAAGCTTGAAAGGGTAAAATGCCACTTACGATCCAACTTTAACCTCTAATTATGGCTACATCAAACCAACAGGCCGTTGTAAACTCACAAGCACACAATGTAAACAACTGCATCCACTTCTCCTCGAAGATGAGTCCATAAATTTTACATGCTCATCACAACAAATTACATACTATGTATTATGTATATTAGCGAATTCCCCAAAGAAAAAGAAAAAAACAGTCAGAGGGTGTACGAGCCACGTACTTTGATTGATGCCCAACGTAAAAACTAAAAGCAATCAATTGAGGGGGGAAATTGAATAGGAATCGACTGCTCAACGGCAAAAAAGCAAAAATCGAATGCATCACCTGAACCGGTAATCGGAGACGCCGTGCGCGGAGGGAAGGGCAATGTCCTGGAATACTTGGGCAAAATATGATTTTTGTTATAAATATATTATATTATGGATATTCATTTACTACTCCGTTGTAAATAAGCTTCCTCAAGAAACTTATCCATATGGGACTCCACCGTAAATATGTTTATCTATTTAGTACTCTATTGGAAATAAGCTTACCGAAGAAGCTTATCACTTCGGTACCCGGTTATGGATAAATATTATTTCCGGTAGAAGATTATCCATACCGGATATAATAAGTTTATCCTTTCAGTACCCAGTTATAGATAAACATTACCCCGGTAGAAGATTATCCATACCGGGTATTATAAGCTTATCCTTTCAGTACCCAGTTATAGATAAACATTACCCCGGTAGAAGATTATCCATACCGGGTATTATAAGCTTATCCTTTCAGTACCCAGTTATGGATAAATATTACCCCCGGTGGAAGATTATTCATATCGGGTATAATAAGCTTATCCTTTCAGTACTCCGTTATGGATAAACATTGCTCTTAGTAGAAGATTATCCATATATGGTATAGTAGCAGCTTACACAACAGCTTCCTTTCTTCTATAAATAGAAGAGATTTCAGTTCATTATGTACATCAGTTTGAATTCGAATAATATATCAGTTTCTCTCTATACTTGTCTTTACTTTACAGTCTTTATTTTATAACACGTTATCAGCACGAGACTCTG